CCCAGACATCGCCAACCCTCTTTTCTTCTAAATACACTAAACATTAAATAATAGCAAACCAATCTCTACATTCTCAATTGTTTTTATTCACATTTTCTATGAGGATCCACTACCAAGTGCTTCTCTGCACCTCGTAACAGGCCTTACCCAGCCATAACTGTCCAGTTTTCAAATATGTCTGTATCGAATAAAAAATGAATGTGTGAAAGCTTCTTTCAAAGTAACATTCACCTGCACTCGTGGTACAACTTTGAGTTAACAGTTAAGTTTGCTTTGCTTTATCTTGGCCAGGTCGCAGTTGTAAATGAGAACTTGTTCTCAACTGGCTTACCTGGTTAAATAAAGGTGAAACAAAAAAAGTATTGGTCAAACAGTATTTTGTTTTAAATTATTGTGATAACCTCAACACCAATTCACTCCTGTATTATAATTCCCCTCAGTCCTCAGCACACTCCTACTCTCTTTTCGTTTACTCACAACAGTAGTTTAACGTGTCTATCTACTGAACAGCTGAACAGTAAAATGACAAATATTTATTAAGGCCACTGTCAGGCTAAAATCATTGGACTGGGCCTCCCGAGTGGCGCAGCGGTCTATGGCACTGCATTGCACTACAGACCCGGGCTCGATCCCGGGCTGTGTCACAACCGGCCGTGATCGGGAGTCCCATAGGGCGGCGCACAGTTGGCCCAGTGTCATCCGAGTTAGGGAAGGGTTTGGCTGGGGGGGGGGGGGGGGGGGGGGGGGGGCTTTACTTGGCTCATCGTGCTCTAGCGACTCTTTGTGGCAGGCCGGGCGCCTTCAGGCTGACCTTGGTCGTCAGTTGAACAGTGTTTCCTCCAACACATTGGTGCGGCTGTCTTCCGGGTTAAGCAGGCGGGTGTTAAGAAGTGTGGTTTTGCGGATTATGTTTCGGAGGACGCATGACTTGACCTTCGCCTCCCGAGCCCGTTGGGGAGTTGCAGCGATGAGACAAGATCGAAATTGGGGAGAAAAAGGGGGTTAAATATATATATATATATATATATATATACACACACACACAGAGGGGGAAAAAAGTATTTGATCCCCTACTGATTTTGTACGTTTGCCCACTGACAAAGACATGATCAGTCTATAATTTTAATGGTAGGTTTATTTGAACAGTGAGAGACAGAATAACAACAACAAAATCCAGAAGAACGCATGTCAAAAATGTTATAAATTGATTTGCATTTTAATGAGGGAAATAAGTATTTGACCCCTCTGCAAAACATGACTTAGTACTTGGTGGCAAAACCCTTGTTGGCAATCACAGAGGTCAGACGTTTCTTGTAGTTGGCCACCAGGTTTGCACACATCTCAGGAGGGATTTTGTCCCACTCCAAGTCATTAAGATTTCAAGCCTGACGTTTGGCAACACGAACCTTCAGCTCCCTCCACAGATTTTCTATGGGATTAAGGTCTGGAGACTGGCTAGGCCACTCCAGGACCTTAATGTGCTACTTCTTGAGCCACTCCTTTGTTGCCTTGGCCGTGTGTTTTGGGTCATTGTCATGCTGGAATACCCATCCACGACCCATTTTCAATGCCCTGGCTGAGGGAAGGAGGTTCTCATCCAAGATTTGACGGTACATGGCCCCGTCCATCGTCCCTTTGATGCGGTGAAGTTGTCCTGTCCCCTTAGCAGAAAAACACCCCCAAAGCATAATGTTTCCACCTCCATGTTTGACGGTGGGGATGGTGTTCTTGGGGTCATAGGCAGCATTCCTCCTCCTCCAAACACGGCGAGTTGGGTTGATGCCAAAGAGCTCAATTTTAGTCTCATCTGACCACAACACTTTCACCCAGTTCTCCTCTGAATCATTCAGATGTTCATTGGCAAACTTCAGACGGGCCTGTATATGTGCTTTCTTGAGCAGGGGGACCTTGCGGGCGCTGCAGGATTTCAGTCCTTCACGGCATAGTGTGTTACCAATTGTTTTCTTGGTGACTATGGTCTCAGCTGCCTTGAGCTCATTGACAAGATCCTCCCGTGTAGTTCTGGGCTGATTCCTCACCGTTCTCATGATCATTGCCACTCCACGAGGTGAGATCTTGCATGGAGCCCCAGGCCGAGGGAGATTGACAGTTCTTTTGTGTTTCTTCCATTTGCGAATAATCGCACCAACTGTTGTCACCTTCTCACCAAGCTGCTTGGCGATGGTCTTGTAGCCCATTCCAGCCTTGTGTAGGTCTACAATCTTGTCCCTGACATCCTTGGAGAGCTCTTTGGTCTTGGCCATGGTGGAGAGTTTGGAATGTGATTGATTGATTGCTTCTGTGGACAGGTGTCTTTTATACAGGTAACAAGCTGAGATTAGGAGCACTCCCTTTAAGAGTGTGCTCCTAATCTCAGCTCGTTACCTGTATAAAAGACACCTGGGAGCCAGAAATCTTTCTAATTGAGAGCGGGTCAAATACTTATTTCCCTCATTAAAATGCAAATCAATTTATAACATTTCTGACATGCATTTTTCTGGATTGTTTTGTTGTTATTCTGTCTCTCACTGTTCAAATAAACCTACCATTAAAATTATAGACTGATAATTTCTTTGTCAATGGGCAAACGTACAAAATCAGCAGGGGATCAAATACTTTTTCCCCCTCACTGTGTGTGTGTGTGTGTATGTATATATATATATATATACACACACACACACATATATACATACATACACAGTATCTCACAACAGTGAGTACACCCCTCACATTTTTAAAAAAATATTTGAGTATATCTTTTCATGTGACAACACTGAAGAAATGACACTTTGCTACAATGTAAAGTAGCGAGTGTACAGCTTGTATAACAGTGTACATTTGCTGCCCCCTCAAAATAACTCAACACAGCCAATAATGTCTAAACCCCTGGCAACAAAAGTGAGTACACCCCTAAGTGAAAATGTCAAAAATTGGGCCCAATTAGCCATTTTCCCTCCCCGGTGTCATGTGACTCGTTAGTGTTACAAGGTCTCAGGTGTGAATGGGGAGCAGGTGTGTTACATTTGGTGTCATCGCTCTCACACTCCCTCATACTGGTCACTGGAAGTTCAACATGGCAAAGAACTCTCTGAGGATCTGAAAAAAAGAATTGCTGCTCTACATAAAGATGGCCTGGGCTATAAGAAGATTGCCAAGACCCTGAAACTGAGCTGCAGCACGGTGGCCAAGAACATACAGCGGTTTAACAGGACAGGTTCCACTCAGAACAGGCCTCGCCATGGTCGACCAAGGAAGTTGAGTGCACGTGCTCAGCGTCATATCCAGGGGTTGTCTTTGGGAAATAGACATACGAGTGCTGCCAGCATTGCTGCAGAGGTTGAAGGGGTGGGGGGTCAGCCTGTCAGTGCTCAGACCATACGCCGCACACTGCATCAAATTGGTCTGCATGGCTGTCGTCCCAGAAGGAAGCCTCTTCTAAAGATGATGCACAAGAAAGCCCGCAAACAGTTTGCTGAAGAAAAGCAGACTAAGGACATGGATTACTGGACCCATGTCCTGTGGTCTGATGAGACCAAGATAAACTTATTTGGTTCAGATGGTGTCAAGCATGTGTGGCGGCAACCAGGTGAGTACAAAGACAAGTGTGTCTTGCCTACAGTCAAGCATGGTGGTGGGAGTGTCATGGTCTGGGGCTGCATGAGTGCTGCCGGCACTGGAGAGCTACAGTTCATTGAGGGAATGCCAACATGTACTGTGACATACTGAAGCAGAGCATGATCCCCTCCCTTCGGAGACTGGGCCGCAGTGCAGTCTTCCAACTTGATAACGACCCCAAACACACCTCCAAGATGACCACTGCCTTGCTAAAGAAGCTGAGGGTAAAGGTGATGGACTGGCCAAACATGTCTCCAGACCTAAACCCTATTGAGCATCTGTGGGGCATCCTCAAACGGAAGGTGGAGGAGTGCAAGGTCTCTAACATCCACCAGCTCTGTGATGTCGTCATGGAGGAGTGGAAGAGGACTCCAGTGGCAACCTGTGAAGCTCTGGTGAACTCCATGCCCAAGAGGGTTAAGGCAGTGCTGGAAAATGATGGTGGCCACACAAAATATTGACACTTTGGGCCCAATTTGGACATTTTCACTTAGGGGTGTACTCACTTTTGTTGCCAGCGGTTTAGACATTAATGGCTGTGTGTTGTGTTATTTTGAGGGTACAGCAAATTTACACTGTTATACAAGCTGTACACTCACTACTTTACATTGTAGCAAAGTGTCATTTCTTCAGTGTTGCCACATGAAAAAATATACTCAAATATTTACAAAAATGTGAAGGGTGTACTCACTTTTGTGAGATACTGTATATACACACACACACATCATTGGACTATGAACTGCACTCACTTGATTCCTTAGTGGACACCACCCTCAGTCTGGTAAAATATGTTAAATTCAAAAACAAAATAATTAAGTATCATTTTATAAATTTAAAATAGTCTAATTCTCATTGGCATAGTACAGTGTTCCCCGATCCATTCTTCGAGTACCTCCAGGACTGCACATTTGTGCTCAGACCCTGAACCAGCCACCCACATTAGTTGTATCAAGTTTACCGGTTCTGGGCTAGAGCAAAAATGAGCAGTTCTGGGGGGTACTAGAGAAACAGATTGGAAAATAATGGCATAGTACATCTCCTCCTATTTTTTTTAGTATTGTCTCAGTCATATACATCTCCTCTGCTCCTGCTCCAGCCCTTAGCGTGAATATGGAAGGTCTTCTGTCCACCAGGCCGCCATTCGTTTGGGCCGAGCTCAGAAGTGACTTCTTCAGCTGCATTAACAACAAGCGTTATGTTCTGACCGGAGCAGATGACGGACATCTCAGACCTCCAATCCAAGTCCTGAGAGCTGGGGGCAGGAGGGCTGTGATTGGTTTGTGTGTCTGGCTGCCCCGCCTCCCCGTACAGAGCCATCCCACTAGGCTCTGGGGGAGTGGGTTTGGTTGGATGATGGTGGCCACAGGGGCGTCTCCTCAACGTTGTCAGGACTGTAGGGTACCCTTGAGGTACCACATCCCTCCTAAGCTCACACAGCACTCCTAATAAGACAGGACCAGAGAACACAGGTTAGAAACATCTGGTTCTTGAGACAGTTATAAAGGTGTTCCTAGAGCTTTGCAACTGTGTCAACTCTGTGCCCACTCAGGTACTCAATTGCAACTCTAGAGCAGGTTCCAGAACCCATTTAAAAGCTGGTTCCAGAGCCTTTTATAAAGTTGGCTCTAACAGCCCATTCTAGAGCCTGTTTCTAAAGCCAGTTTGAGACGCTGTTCAACAGTCTGTTCGGAGACCAGTCGTACCTTGAGCAGGCGGTCCACATCGGCCTTGGTAACCTGGTCTCCCAGCTCCTGCGTCAGCCTGGTCTGGATCACGTTCCTCCTCACCCGGTAGTTCTTCATGAAGATCTCATACAGGACCTGACGATGCTGGGGGACAGGACATTCAACAATTTGAAGATCTTTGAAATGTAGACAGTAGAATAGAGTCCTTAAACACATCCTGATCTCAAACTAAGAAGGCAAACAGGTTAAGACGTGCGGTTACCAACTTGTTGTGATCAATGTATTTCTGCATGATTTCAAAACCATAATACAGGACATACACATACTCAGAGTGATTCAGTGGGTGCAGTAGGTACGTGGAATGATGAACGAAAATGAAGAAAAAAAAACTTTTGTACAGACTTGGTTAGAAGAAGTACCCCACCCTGGCCCCTGTTGTTGTTACCTTGTCGAATGTCTCTCCCGTCTCCCACACCGCAAACACCTTCTGCTCATCAGCAGCTGCTGTACTCTGGGCTGGAAACTACAGGGAAGAAAAGAGAGGAAGGAAACAACTATTGAAATTACAAGAAAAAGTAGAGGATAAAATTGATAGAACCAATGAAATGACATGGAGAGATGAGAAAGCAACTGATGAAACTGTATAAGGGGACAGGAGAGAAACCACTGCAGTGACCCACAATCTCATAGCACTGGGATTTACAGACAGAACAGACCTTTTATTACAAGATTATTCCCAATCCCAACAAAACAACACACTGAGGCAATGCACATCTAAATACAGGCGTGCTGTGTTCATAAATTGACTGTAAGTCGCTCTTGATAAGAGCATCTGCTAAATGACCCAAATGTAAATAAACCAATCCCTAAATCAACCCTCTCCACTCCCAGTAAGCATCAACCCCTGCTGGGATAGGATGATGTTGCCCCTAGAGGCTGAACTAACAGTTTTGCCTTCCGTCTGCCTAAAGTTTACGGTTAATCTACCCAGTAATAGGCTTTGTCCTCTCAGCCAATAATATAAGCTATTTAACAGCTGGCTGGTTTCCTCTACACCCTCCTCCATCCCTCCCTTCAGGGTCTAAAATCCTACCACCACCTGAGGAGAGAGAGGAGGATAAGAACCTAACCCAGGTTGGTTATAGTGGCGCCGGAGAAGATAGCTGCCGTTTTACAGCCCTCTAACCAATTGTACTATTATGTGTGTTTTACCGCATTATTTGTAATTTATTTTCTACATAATGTTTCTGCCATCGTCTCTTATAACCAAAAAGAGCTTCTGGATATCAGGACAGCGATTACTCACCTGGGATTGGACCAAGATTTTTTCTTCAACGAGGCGGCCGAAGGATATCCTACAGACACCCGACAAGGCCCAAATCCCCGTCATTCGCATGAGGAAGAGACGGAGATATCGTGGACGTAGGTCGAGCGAGTAAACTGCCCCTCCCATCAATCCTATTAGCCAATCTTCAATCATTTGAGAATAAATTAGATGACCTAAGATTGCGGTTATCCTACCAACGGGACATTAAAAACTGTAATATCTTATCTTTCACCGAGTCGTGGCTGAACGACGACATGGACAACATACAGCTAGCGGGCTATACGCTACATCGGCAGGATAGAACGGCTGACTCCGGTAAGACAAGGGGTGGCGGTCTGTGTATATTTGTAAACAACAGCTGGTGCACAAAATCAAATACTAAGGAAGTCTCGAGGTTTTGCTCGCCTGAGGTAGAGTATCTTACGATAAGCTGTAGACCACACTATTTACCAAGATATTTGACATCTATATTTTTCATAGCTGTCTATTTACCACCACAAACCAATGCTGGCATTAAGATTGCACTGAATGAGCTGTATAAGCCATAAGTGAACAGGAAAACGCTCATCCAGATGCAGCGCTCCTAGTGGTCGGGGACTTTAATGCAGGGAAACTTAAATCCGTTCTACCTAATTTCTACCAGCATGTTAAATGTGCAACCAGAGGAAAAAAAACTCTAGACCACCTTTACTCCACACACAGAGACGCATACAAAGGTCTCCCTCGCCCTCCATTTGGCAAATCTGACCATTACTCTATCCTCCTGATTCCTGCTTATAAGCAAAAACTAAAGCAGGAAGCACCAGTGACTCTGTTAATAAAAAAGTGGTCAGATGATGCAGATGCTAAGCTACAGGACTGTTTTGCTAGCACAGACTGGAACATGTTCCGGGATTCTTCAGATAGCATTGAGGAGTACACCACATCAGTCACTGGCTTCATCAATAAGTGCATCGATGATGTCGTCCCCACAGTGACCGTACGTACATACCCCAACCAGAAGCCATGGATTACAGGAAACATCCGCACTGAGCTAAAGGGTAGAGCTGCCGCTTTCAAGGAGCGGGACTCTACGCCGGACGCTTATAAGAAATCCCGCTATGCCCTCCGACGAACCATCAAACAGGCAAAGAGTCAATACAGGACTAAGATTGAATCGTACTACACCGGCTCTGACGCTCGTCGGATGTGGCAGGGCTTGAAAACTATTACAGACTACAAAGGGAAGCACAGCCGCGAGCTGCCCAGTGACACAAGACTTCCAGACGAGCTAAACCACTTCTATGCTCGCTTCGAGGCAAGCAACACTGAAGCATGCATGAGAGCACCAGCTGTTCCGGATGACTATGTGATCACGCTCTCCGTAGCCGATGTGAGTAAGACTTTTAAGCAGGTCAACATTCACAAGGCCGCAGGGCCAGACGGATTACCAGGACGTGTACTCCGAGCATGTGCTGGCCAACTGGCAAGTGTCTTCACTGACATTTTCAACATGTCCCTGACTGAGTCTGTAATACCAACATGTTTCAAACAGACCACCATAGTCCCCGTGCCCAAGGACACTAAGATAACCTGCCTAAATGACTACCGACCCGTAGCACTGACGTCTGTAGCCATGAAGTGCTTTGAAAGGCTGGTCATGGCTCACATCAACACCATTATCCCAGAAACCCTAGACCCACTCCAATTTGCATACCGCCCCAACAGATCCACAGATGATGCAATCTCTACTGCACTCCACACTGCCCTTTCCCACCTGGACAAGAGGAACACCTACGTGAGAATGCTATTCATTGACTACAGCTCAGCATTCAACACCATAGTGCCCTCAAAGCTCATCACTAAGCTAAGGATCCTGGGACTAAATACCTCCCTCTGCAACTGGATCCTGGACTTCCTGACGGGCCGCCCCCAGGTGGTAAGGGTAGGTAACAACACATCTGCCACACTGATCCTCAACACAGGGGCCCCTCAGGGGTGCGTGCTCAGTCCCCTCCTGTACTCCCTGTTCACCCATGACTGCATGGCCAGGCACGACTCCAACACCATCATTAATTTTGCCGACGACACAACAGTGGTAGGCCTGATCACCGACAACGATGAGACAGCCTATAGGGAGGAGGTCAGAGACCTGGCCGTGTGGTGCCAGGATAACAACCTCTCCCTCAACGTGACCAAGACAAAGGAGATGATTGTGGACTACAGGGAAAAAAAAGAGGACTGAGCACGCCCCCATTCTCATCGACGGGGCTGTAGTGGAACAGGTTGAGAGCTTCAAGTTCCTTGATGTCCACATCACCAATGAACTATCATGGTCCAAACACACCAAGACAGTTGTGAAGAGGGCACGACAAAGCCTATTCCCCCTCAGGAGACTGAAAAGATTTGGCATGGGTCCTCAGATCCTCAAAAAATTCTACAGCTGCACCATCGAGAGCATCCTGACTGGTTGCATCACCGCCTGGTATGGCAACTGCTTGGCCTCCGACCACAAGGCACTACAGAGGGTAGTTCGTACGGCCCAGTACATCACTGGGGCCAAGCTTCCTGCCATCCAGGACCTCTATACCAGGCGGTGTCAGAGGAAGGCCCTCAAAATTGTCAAAGACTCCAGCCACCCTAGTCATAGACTGTTCTCTCTGCTACGGCACGGCAAGCGGTACTGGAGTGCCAAGTCTAGGTCCAAAAGACTTCTCAACAGCTTCTACCCCCAAGCCATAAGACTCCTGAACAGCTAATCATGGCTACCCTGACTATTTGCACTGCCCCCCACCCCCACCCCATCTTTTTACGCTGCTGCTACTCTGTTAATTATTTATGCATAGTCAATATAACTCTACCCACATGTACATATTACTTCAACTACCTCAACTAGCCGGTGCCCCCGCACATTGACTCTGCACCGGTACCCCCCTGTATATATAGCCTCCCTACTGTTATTTTATTTTCCTTCTGCTCTTTTTTTCCTCAACACTTTTTTGTTGTTGTTTTATTTTACTTTTTTTATTAAAAATAAATGCACTGTTGGTTAAGGGCTGTAAGTAAGCATTTCACTGTAATGTCTGCACCTGTTGTATTCGGCACATGTGGCCAATAAAATTTGAGTTGATTTGATTTGATCTGATACGAGGGAGGAGATGAGCTCCTTATCCATACAATAGGTGTGTCATGGTATTAATGCTAACAGTGTTCATTCAACTGCTTCTCTGATGCGTACTATGGAATTAAGACATAACAATGAGAGCAAAGTTTGAAGAGCCACACCTCATAGGAAAATGTAGGCTTCACCTAAGGTACAGAGCAGGCTGGTGGGGCATAGTAAAATTGAACAGCTAGATTCTACAATCCCACAGCCATCAGGCTCTATTCAGAGAGTTGAACCTGAGAAGGCCAACTCTCCAGTGCCTCACTGCTCTCACTCTACTACCTACCTACTACCCTCAGGATCAAAGCCTGTGCGCTGCTACAGGGATAGATCACATACCAAAATCACTGTTAGTTTGTTATTCTGTTTAGGAAAGGTGATAGTTTCACTCCTGAGGCAAGCGAGAGACCACAATTCAAGAGTAGCAGAGAGCCCAGGCAGGCTAAGTTTCATCTGGGCGGGAGCCTAGCGCCGATCTCTTTAGTCCAGGGAGAGGATTGTTATCTTTGGATATCCAGACTTCCTCAATGGGTGGAAGAATAGGCCTGTCTAACTGAAATCCTCCAGTACCACAGGGGGTTGTCGGTTTACGCTTTCCAGTGGAACTAACCCCATCCCCAGCCTTATCATGTCCGTTTCAAAATCTTAAACCAAGACCAAACCTCATGGGATAGTAATCCTGTAGCAGGGTTAGGGTTCAGGCTCTAATACTCACAGGCACCAGTATCTGTTTGCAGTGGCTCATCAGTATAGTATCCTGTAGCAGGCGGTCTGAGATGGAGTGGAACAGGCTGTGTCCCGGAGGCAGGGAGGCCAGGTGGAGGTTGAACAGCCTCTTGACTTCGCTCAGCGTCAGCACGTGCTGCTTCCTGAATGTGTTCCACACAAAGTCCCTCAGCTCAGGGGACGGTGAGGGCGTGGGAGTCCCGCCGTGCCCGTTATGAGGATTCAAGGCAGGGGAAGTGGCGGCGGCGGAGGGGTAACCGTTTACCCACCCGTTAGGGAGAGCAGAGGAGGAAGAGGATGTGTCCATGGGTTCGTCTTCACCGTCGCTGACAGGTTCCTCTTTGACTCTGATCCCGGTTCCACCGCTCGCTCCGGCTCCACCCTTTTCCTGTCGACGAGCACTCAGGTCCTTCTGAAGAGCGGGCTGGTTCTGTTGTGCACGCTCACGGGCAGCCTTCAGACGCTGCTCGCCACTCACGTACATAGGTTCTGTAACAGAGAGAGGCACAGTTTTCAGCTAGAGATACCTATAAATACCTTATGCCAGAGGGACTTTCCTATGAGCACACAATCAGTACACACACCTGTTTGTGGGTCCTTTTTGGATACCAGGTCCTCCTTAGAGAAGTTGAAGACCTTCTCCAATCTGCAAACACAAAACAACCATGAACCATAAAATCAACCCACAACAGTCTCGTTCCACATTACCGTACCAAGAGAAACAGTGAGCGATAGTGTGTGTGTGTGTGTTTGCGTATATCGTCTCTTACTTGCTCTGTATCCCCATCCACAGCATGTGCTGCCGCTGGGCCACGTCAGGGTGCTTTTTGATGAAGTCACCGTCACTTGGCAACAGGAACTCCCAGCCACGGTTTATACGAGGCACCGCCATGTGTTCCAGGAAGTCCTTCACATCCTCTGGGGGGAGCTGGAAAGAATAGGTGTGGACAAATATTTAGTAACACCCCCTAGGGGTAACTGTTAGTGAGTGTGTTACACCATGTCCTTTAAATAAAGTTGTATTTTAATTGGGTATATCATCTTTGGCCAGGTGAGAGACACTATAGGTTCATGTATCAGTAGCACCTTCTGGTACCAGGCTGGGGCAGTGAACTGTTTAAACAGTTGATTACCTTGATGATGGCTGTGATCTCCTTCCTCATCACTGAGCGCTCCTGAGTGAATCTCCACATCTGAAAAGAGAAACAGGAACAAAAAACATTAGATAATCATTTTTTTCAGTTTTTAATCCTGTTTATATTTCACCATGAAGTCTCTTCAAATTTGAACCTGTGTAGGTGGTACATTTTACTGTGGACCTGTGCAGGAAGATATGCTATGTGATTTGGTAGGGATATAAACAGTGTGACTCACCACAAAGTCTCTTCCTCGACACAGCACTTCAGCAGGCACACCACTGTGGGGACTACAGCTGTTCTTAGGATACAGCACATCACTGAGGGAAGAATAAATACAACTGTTAAATTGGTTTCAGGAACATGACCTGAAATATATATATATATTTTTAAAGTATTCAAGCATAATCTCATGAAATCACATATTTAGTTATTGAAAAACTAAACCAGAATTATGCCTACTTTTTGGATAGATTTAATCTTGATCTATGAACCTGATCCCTAGGGCCTAGTGCCTCCACAGTCCTGCTCTACTGAAAAATGTATGCACTCACTAACTGTAAGTCGCTCTGGATAAGAGCGTCTGCTAAATGACTAAAATGACTAAAATGTAAATGTAATGTCTCACCTCTTGACCACCCAGTTGCCCTGCACCAGTAACGCCACCTGCTGGATGCAGCGCAGCACTGCAGTGGAGTCTGTCCCAGGGGTCAACAAACCCATCAGGTTGGCAAACGGCATCACTTTGACTGGAGGGGAGGAGAGAAATTATGGAAAGAATAAGATGGAGGAGAGGTGCACGTACAAATATAAAAAAACTTTCCCGTTGGGGACAATAAAGATTTATTGGATTGAAAGTAACAAGGTTAGCAGTTAGAGAGCGTACCGTTCTTTACCAGGGTCTTGACCTGGTCACCTAGCGGCAGGGTCCGGAGCTGGGCCATGGACAGCACGTTACTGGGACCTACAGGCCTCACACTGATACACACAGGACATCAGTTTCATACCTGAAATGTTACAACATGGAGTAGTACATTACACACTTCATGTAAGTGTTACTTACATCTTCTCCTCTGCAATAGGGGGCATGAGCATTGCCAGGTACTCCCTGAGAGAGAAAGGGATGAATAAAGGGAGTGGGGGGAAAGAGACATAAGGGAGGTCACACAAAAGCAGCCTGACAGTCAAAAATCTGAAAAGAATAAAGCAAAAGCAGCCACTTAAATAGGGACACTACGTGTTAGTCCTCACTTTGGTGTTTTCACCAGTTCTGTGTTCTCGGAGCCTCCCATGGCCTGGCAGTACAGGTATTGCCTCTCGTGGTCCGAACGCCCGTCCTAAACACACACACAAAGTAGGTGTTGAATTGGTATTGGCCGTGACTTGGATTAACAGAGGTCACATAAAAGAGTGTGTGAGAACACCCCCTTACGTTGAGGCCGTGGTAATGCAGGTAGACCCAGGGCTCCTCTGCCTGTTTCTTCTGAAGGAAGTCATAGGACTGGATACGCCGCTGACGAGCCTGCTCCGACTCAGGGCGGGAAAACCTCACCTAGAGCGAAGAGACAGGTTTAACTTTACCATTCCAACACTGACAAATAAAACGGAGCTCAACAATTGTTTTAAGAGGATCGTGTGTGAACTGTGATTGTAACTGTGTGTGTTTCCTTACAGTGACGGCCTTGACGTCCTCCTCCGCCTCATCCTGAGAAGAGTCTCCCCCTTCGTTAGCGGTCTCCCGCTCTCTATGTTTGCTGTCAGCCTTATCCAGATAGGAGAAGCTGGGTCGCATCTGGAGGATACCCTGCAGCGGCGTGACGTGGAGCTCCCCTGGTGACATCAACAGAGGTCAGTAACATCATCAACACTGCGTCAGTGACAAACATTTAGATATTGACACTAACATAAACACAAGCAGGAGCAATGACAGTGCTGATGAGGGCCGACTGGATATGTATGTACAGAAACACAGCTACCTTTCCTGAAGACAGCAGCAGCGTATCTGGAGGTGTTGGTTGTGGACTGGATGGATGTGAACGTCTGCTTGTCCATCATCTTTCTGCAAGGAGATTGATAAATGATCAGTGTCAATTCCCAGCATGCCACAGACACATACACAACAGACGTAAGGACTAACACAGTACTAAGAAGTGAACCAGCACAAAGTGTACAAAGTATTGCACTCACACAGAGTAGGTGTTGGAGTCCTCTGAGGTGGTTCCGTCCACATTGAGGGCGATCTGCTCTCCTTTACTTCGACAGTAGTTAGGACTCTGAGTGTTAATGGCCATCTCCAACTCCACCTACACAGAGACACACAAATCGTAAGCTGAGAATGTTTTATAATAAACAGGCTGTGGAAGACGGATCATAAGTTTTGACATTTAGGTATACATTGGAGATGGAAATCTCTTTAACAAGGGAGCCCTGTCACACCTTTTGCTGCTTGGGCTTGATCTTGGCCGATAGATGAGTGACATCATCATAGGTCATAGAGGAAGGGCGTACTGGATACTATAATGGAGAAAAGAGAAAGGAAGATTAACGAATGATTTAGATAGCTGTACAAATTTTTTTCCCACAAACATATCAAATCAACACAGCTTGTTTCAGAGTAGATGTAGATTTACCTGGAACAGATAGAGCTTGTCCGCAAGGCTTTTAGCTAGGTATACATCAATCTAAAGACACAGAGAGAGAGAAAGCTTGGGTTCATATTCTTTTCATCACTCATCATCACATTGCCAAGACGATCAAACCTAGGCTTGGGCAGAAACTGACTGGTAAACGGGGGACTGGGGAAACTAGTCACTCACCTCTTGTATGATGGGGTCATCGTCCTCCTCGCTGGCCATAATGAGGGGAGGGGTCTGGGGGAGACGTCACAGAAGAGCAGCAGCAGACCTCCGGGGACCCAACCTAGGATGAAAGAAATGCTGAGTGACAGACACTCAAACTAACAGAGGCTACTTTCCACAAAAATATTGAGGGTCTTATTCTGGTGACATGATCGATTCTTGGCTGCCGTTTGACAAAAATATAATCTTGCTCTTTTGTCCATAATAATCTCATCATGTAGGCTATTCGTGCGCTCTAGCCAACAACGCGCAGATACAGTATCTGCACCCTGTTGGTTAGGGCGCACGTGCCAATACCGGAGTGGGCACACTTGCTATATAACTTTTTGTTGTTGTTAAGAAAACCATCAGTAGAGTTGATAATGCGTTAAAAACCAATTTAACTTGTATTTTTTTATTCGGTACATGGGAATTTAACCGCCAAAGGTATTTTTATGTGCACTGTCATCACGCACAGACTTTTATCAATTTGATGGAAACATCTCTGGTGGGAAAATGTGCATATTATTTTAATGCAAACTTTAGAATATTCGCATGAAAATCTGTCGCCAATTGGATGGAAAGCTAGCTAGTGATGCCACAGAATTTCTAAACCCAGAGGCCCAACATTGCGATACTTCTGGGAACCTTTTGTGAAGCAGACTCGACAGACCAGACGGTGTTGGGAAGAATGGGAAAAGTGAAAATGTCATCCTTAGTTGTTAATTCACAAAATCTAAAAAGGCACAACCTAGATTTGAGCCAATTTCTTAAGTAGCTGAACATGTTATTACTCGAACCTTGTGAAAGTGAGACGTTTTCATTTGTCAAAAACTTTATAAAATCAACAAGAGTGCCTTTGATTTCAAGGCCTGCACATGAGCAGTTCGGCAGTTCAGACGGCCGTTAGACCTAAATACGTGGTTCTGCGCATGAGCTTTGCTAGCCAGGTGGAGACCATGGAGGAGTTGGAGAGAAGTTGAGTGAATTATGATGCAGAAGAATGGCGCTAAACTCAAACCTGCGTCTTCAGAATATAGACCTATGTCTCCCGTATATACAACTAGTACTGGTCCTCGCCAATATAAAACAACAACCGAGGCCGAGTACCTTTTTTCTCCTGTTAATATAGGATTGTGACGATACCAGTATCGCAATATTTTTTCCATGGCAAAAATGAACACACGAAACAGACAGAACTCTTTGATTCTTAAAAAACATGCTGTAAGTAAAATATTGTGTGCTATAGCTTGGAAAATAAATACATCTGGATGACAACAAAATTGTGTTTGTTTCCAACATTAGGGCTGTTTTCCTAAAGAAGTTAAATCTGCTTCATGTTTTGTTTCCTTGCCACGATACTAACGACGATCGCAATACTAGTTTCGTCCCAGCCCTAAGTTAATAGTGACAACGGAGGGAGTGTCATGGCGTTTGAAGGAGTTTAAGAGAGTGAGGATGAAGTATCAAAAAAATTGTTGGAGTACGGTTCAAGGAAGAAAAAAAAAGTATATATATATATATATATATATATATATATATATATATATATATATATTTGAATATTTCTAGCTACTTTAACTAAACCCCTGCAGTTAACTAGTGCAATAAAATTAGGAGATAAAGCAGATCGCGTTCTTCATTTCACCAGTCACATTTTTCATTATGAAGCTTACTGTAGTCCCCAAGTCACATGGTGTTTCTTTACAAGCACACAACGAACAGAGACCGGAGCATTCTGAGGCACTTACTGTTGTGAAGCACGCGCCAGGTGATCTAGTTACAGTACGGAATTCACAACTAAATGTTTGCCAGCTAGATATCTTATAACTATTAGTTTAACTGTCTAAAATGTGCTACATGCTCTGCAGTTGCTTATTTCTCTCAAATTATGTTCACAAATTTGTTGACATCCCTGTTAGTGAGCATTTCTCCTTTGACAAGATAATCCATCCACCTGACAGGTTTGGCATATCAAGAAGCTGATTAAATAGCATTATCATTACACAGGTACACCTTGTGCTGAGGACAATAAAAGGACACTACAATTTGCAGTTGTCACACAACACAATGCCACAGATGTCTCAAGTTTTGAGGGAGGGTGCAATTGGCATGCTGACAGTAGGAATGTCCTACAGAGCTGTTACCAGATAATTTTATGTTCATTTCTCTACCATAAGCCGCCTCCAACGTCGTCTTGAAGAATTAGGTAGTACGTTCAACCGGCCTCACAACCGTAGACCACGTGTAACCACGCCAGCCCGGGACCTCCTCCACATCCAGATCCTTCACCTGCAGGATCGTCTGAGACCAGCCACCCGGACAGCTGATGAAACTGTAGGTTTGCCAAACCGAAGAATTTCTGCACGAACTAGGTCTGTTGTTTTGACCAATCAATTGGTCGATATTTTAAAACGTGTATTTTTCCATATATAGACACATCCTATGTGTTTTAATCGAATATAGGCACTGAGCTTGTCTGATGCTTTAACCACACTGTTTGATGAAATAAGAAAGACACACGACTAGAGTGAGTCTGACCGCAATTGATTTGATTGTGCCGGGCTGGGCTCAGACTTGACAGCGAGTGACTGTGTGACTGGGGGAGGGGGGTGCTGAGTAGTATTTCTGTCTGTAATAAGCCCTATTGTGGGTAAAAACTCATGACTGTAAGTCGCTTTGGATAAAAGCGTCTGCTAAATGGCATATTATTATTATTTATTATTATATTTTGATTGGCTGGGCCTGGCTTCACAGTGGGTGGACCTATGCCCTCCCAGGCCCACCCATGGCTGCGCCCCTGCCCAGTCATGTGAAATCCATAGATTAGGACCTAATTTATTTATTTCAATTGACTGATTTCCTTATATGAACTGTAACTCAGCAAAATCTTTCATGTTACGTTTATATTTTTGTTTAGTATAATTAAGTTACGTTTCCTCTCTCTTCACTTTTCTTAGACAATTAAGGCAAAAGCTGTTTTCTCCTCTCCTAACTCTGCAGCTGCCTCCACTGCATTGTTCTCAACACTAATACACTGGTTAACTTTGCTATTATGCACAAAGCAACATGGTCTAGGAAAAGGCGCCAATTCAACAGCGCACTGATGTGTTTCAGAACTGCGGACAGCAACCGCTATCCAATTCGGGAGAAAGCGCATTTGTTATAAAATAATATTTGTATTAGTGTTGCACCATTGTTCTTACGTAATATAACCATATACAATTTCAGTAGCACGTCTAAGAGTGATGGACTGTGCCATCCCCACGGCCTACACAGTGGATTAGTCCACTCAGACAGGGAATCTGACAGGTGTACACGATGAAAATGTATAAAACATTTTGCTACTGCTCAACTAAAGAAATCTCAGTCGCCCAAAAGACTATCGACCAAATAATCGACCACTCGACAAAATGGGGTCAACCCTAGCACACTGTCAGAAACAGTCTAAGGGAAGCTCATCTTCGTGCTCATCGTCCTCACCAGGGTCTTGACCTGACTGCAGTTCAGCTTCGTAACAGATTTCAGTGGGCAAATGCTCACCTTCGATGGCCACTGGCGAAGTGTGCTCTTCACGGATGAATCCGAGCAGATGGCAGACAGCTTGTACGGCATGTGGGCGACCGGTTTGCTGATGTCAACATTGTGAACAGTGCCCCATGGTGGCGGTGGGGTTATGATATGGGCAGGCATAAGCTACAGACAACAAACACAATTGCATTTTAGCAATGGCTATTTGAATGCACAGAGATACCGTGACGAGATCCTGACGCCCATTGTCATGCCATTCATCCGCCACCATCACCCATCCTCATGTTTCAGCATGATAATGCACAGCCCCATGTCGCAAGGATCTGTACACAATTCCAGGAAGCTGAAAATATCCCAGTTCTTCCATGGCCTGCATACTCACCAGACGTCACCCACCGAGCATGTTTGTGATGATATGGAGTGACATGTACGACAGCGTGTTCCAGTTCCCGCCAATATCCAGCAAATTCGCATATCCATTGAAGAAGAGTGGGACAACATTCCACAGGTCACAATAACAGCCTCATCAACTCTATGCAAAGGAGATGTGTCGCGCTGCATGAAGCAAATGGTGGTCACATGAGATACCGAATGATTTTCTGATCCACATCCCTACCTTTTTTTTAAGGTATCTGTGACCAACAGATGCATATCTGTATTCCCAGTCATGTGACATCCATGGATTAGGGCCCAATTAATTTATTTAAATTGACTGATTTCCTTATATGAACTCTAACTCATGTTGAGTTTATATTTTTGTTCAGTGTAGTAACTGTGGAGGAAATCATGAAGCCAGGTCTTCAGAGTGACCCGTAAAAGCAAAACAGATACAGGTAGCTAAAGTCAGAGTAGGACAGGGTGTTACGTATTCAGAGGCAGGGAGAAGGTTTGAGGGGGGACCGGGAAGGAATGCTCCCCCCAACGGCAACAGTGAGTGATCCCATTACAACAGGTGGACCCCAGCAAACTGTGCTTCAACAAATCCAGGTTCCTGGCCTTCATCGTGATGGTTTTCAATTGTGCTACACAACTAGAACACAGGCCACTGAAAATTGACATTTATATACAGCCTGAAACTAATGCCTGCAAAATCGTGTAAATGTTTCTTACAAGCTAGAATGTTGAATACAATTACATTTAAACTTACTCTACTGTTTGTCTGAGAGGTTTGTCCTTCAGCTGCTCAAAATCTGAGACAAAATATCCACAGGAAAGTATTTTTTAGAGAGCCGGTAGGTATATGGTTCGGCACCGAGATAAAGAGTTTTATATTGCATATGCACGGTTCTCTCCCTCTCATCAATAGCTATTGAACCAGGCATTCCATGACAATGAACATGATATATTCTGAATCAGGGGAGGATGGAGAACAATCCACTTTTATTTTAATTTTATATGAAAAACAAAATAAATAAATCTCCATCCTCCCGATTCAGAATATACCATTTAATTGCATGCTTGGTTCAATAAAACATTATTTTTCTCCTCCCCTCGGTGCTGAA